TTAAAACATTTTCTGCTAATTAAAAACGGTATTTTTTAACACCTCATAAACTTAATTGGAAAATGTAATCAAAATTTAATAATTATTAACGAAAAATGTTATCTATTGAAGTGCTTTTTTAGGTATTTCAGAAAAATGTGAGTTTTTATTTAAATTTTTTACAACAATAAGAATATATTACATATATTTTTTTTTATATAGCAATCAATTGAGGATATTTACAAATTATTTGGATTCGGTATTTGGTTACGTTCAATGCACGCTTTGCTCTTATTTTGTTTAGTTAATCGAAATAGCGAAAGTGATTCGTACAAGCCTCCATAACACAACAACAACAACAACAATAATAATCTTTGCAAACAAGTTTTTGTGACCAAAACATATTTACTTCACCTGTTCATCCGCTTGGCCTAGAGTACTAAATTCGGCAAATCACACACAGTTTTGTTTATCTAAACAACAAAAAATTACATCTGCACGATGATGTCACATTCCGGGCATATTATGACGTTGGCCAATAGCATTATTGGAGTTGGCATATTGGCAATGCCATTCTGCTTTCAAAAGGTTTGTTTTATTAGCAAATATTTATGCTTGTTAACGTTGGAGTTTTTTTTTATTTCATGGCTTTAGCAACAACATTGATCTTGCATTGAAACGAGCATAAAATCACGTTTTATTTTTAATTCAGATACATCTGTGCTAACAAAACTGATGGAAAGATGCGTTGATAAGCTAAATCGAAATTATAATTTTTTTTCTATAATTCATTTTAACACGAAGCCAGCTTCTCTTCATGTTTGAGTTAAAGATAAATTCTTTTAAAATTATTATTAACAGCCAAAAAATTACGTGCCATGTTCTGAAAAAAACTAACTGACTTACTATTGATATTGCAATAGTAAATGAAGCCAGTATTGGCTATTCGTACAGTATAACTAAAAAATATATATATATATAAGTTGTTGGTTCGTTTACAGACTAGTCTGATCTGAGAACCTTATAAAATATATATTTACTGCAATCAATATTAAAAATCTTCGAAAAATGAAATGGAAGCAACAATGCTTTAAAATAATACAATATAAATAGCTGTGACGAAGTTACAGACAGTCTTTGTACTACTGTTTTTATATAGCGTTTACATAAAGCTTTTTTTTGCAACTTATTATTATACAATTACTCTTATTCTCTTGTATTTGTCACACTCAAATTTTCAACTTTATTTCATGGCAATTAATCTATTCACTACTTAAAATAGATGCATAGAAGTTCAGGTCTTATAAAAACTCAGAGTGGCAATTACAGCAGTTCTTTGCTTCGAACCTGTTTTTGTGCACTCGGGTTCATTTTCGGGCAACTCTGTTACAGCTATTTTTGCATGAGTTTAAAAAGAAATATTTTCAAATACAGATTACCCCGTTTTCCAGCTTATGTACTTTTTGGATAACTCATAAAATATTCATTCAATAATAATTTTAAGAGGACTTCCCTTCCTGCTTACACGCCTGGCTGTCATCCTTTAAACGTCGGCTTTAAGACTTCTTTCGTTGATTCCTTAATTTTAAAATAGAAAAGTTGTCAGACTTGTTTTCTTTAACGTTATCCGTGCGGTAACTACTTAAGTTTTTATTCCAGTTTTGGTATTCTCTTAGTTTGGCGTATACACAACATTTGTTATTCATGGTATCATAATGAGCCCAGCTTTGGATTTTAGAGGACTCTCTAACATCTAATCATGATGTCACTCATCTGTTTTTCTGTTCCAATGCTCAATTAAACTTAAGTGTAATAGATCCTAGGACCCAACCTATTGCCCCATTAAGGTGATTAGGTTTCTCCGCCTTAAAACTAATGGAATTTAATATAAATCACACCCATCCTCAATCCGTTCTTAATATTATTAAGGGATGGGATATGACACTGTGAACGTCGGTTATATTGTGCTCCGTTCTTATTCCTAAACAATTACTTCCCGTCTCACACTACCATTACCTATCCACATCCTAACCCATACGTGTTTGTAATTTCTTTAATGTTATCTGCTTAATATTTCCGGTTTTATAAACTGAACTAACTGTGTCAAAGAGATTGATGCAATTGTTAATAGTCAATTTAAGCTAGCAACAGCATTCAATCCAAAGCACCGACTGTGTTATTAATTATATATGTATATACAAATATCAATTATATATACTCTTTCATAAATCATATTCTGAAAATTTTAATTAACATAATTTATATTTTAGTGTGGTATTGTACTATCTGTAATTTTGCTTATAATAAGCGGTTGGGTTACACGTATCTGTTGTCATTACCTCATCAAATCTTCTTTACTTACAAGACGAAAAAGTTTCGAGTTTTTAGGTAAGCCAATATATTACAAGTACTCAAAAAACAGAAAATTTAAAAAACTTCTAGTAAATTTTATTTAAATATTACAAAATTTTATCTTTTCACTTCAAAATAGGTTTCCAAGCCTTTGGATCATCTGGCAAACTGCTTGTTGAACTATGTATAATCGGTTACTTACTGGGCACTTGTATTACATATTTCGTTGTTGTCGGCGATTTAGGACCACAGATTGTCACCAATTTATTCACCCTACAGTATGAAACTACGAAACTGCGAACATGGATTATGATCGCAGTAACCATTCTTTGCATTCTGCCATTGGGTATGCTAAAGAATGTAGACAGTCTATCCACAGTTTGCACAGCATCTATTGGTTTCTATATATGTTTGGTGTTTAAAATTATTTTAGAATCTGAAGCACATATAATAGCAAATGATTGGTCTGATAGTGTCGTATATTGGAAACCAGCTGGTATTTTACAATGTTTGCCCATATTTAGCATGGCATTATCATGTCAAATGTAAGTAACTTTTGTGTCTATGGTACATAACCTTCTTAAAACTTCTATACTATATATATAAATATATTCAGGCAATTATTTGAAGTTTTTGAGAGCATCAACAATCAGAGTTTAGAAAAGCTAAATGGTATCGTTCGTAACGCTACTTGGATTTGTACTTTTGTTTACATTGCTGTAGGATTCTTTGGTTATGTGGCTTTTTGTACACAATCCTTCTCAGGTAAGTTCAATGATATGATTTTGTTATGTACAATTAATATGTATTATACTTTTAGGAAATATTTTAATGAATTTTTCACCATCTTTCGGTAGTGATGTGATTAAAATTGGTTTTGTGCTTTCTGTTGCATTTAGTTTTCCATTGGTTATATTTCCATGCAGAGCAAGCATATATTCACTACTTTATCGCAAGGTATGTAATAAATTTATAAACATTTATAAACATTTTCAAACATATATTCACTGCTTTATCGCAAGGTATGTAATAAATTTATATACATTTTTTTATAAACGTGAAAGCTCAAACTAGACACTCTTATCAGCAAACATCTCAGTTATGCGTCTCTAGTTTTCATTTTTCGTAAACGACCAGAATTGTTGTCTCTATCGGTATCCGCCTAAGTGTACTCTCACTATTTTATAGAATTAAAAACTGATGGAATAGACTTTTATGTACAATATATTTATAAAGACACATAAAAAATATTTAAAAAAAAACATATTACTCTTCAACTGAACGACGAACTAAAAGCAGGTATTTAAAAATTCGACAAAGCACTGCAAAATGGTATGGGTATAGGGAGTTAGATATCTTGAATCTATGAATAGAATTTCAACTGAGTGAAACTATTTTTCAATAAGCCACAAACTGATATGAACATTTAGCCATAAATACAAGTAGCCAAAGTCAAATAGAGAAGAACTGAAGTTAGGGCACACATTGAAAATGGACTTATTTATGCATGCTTAGAACGTGCCTATATCCTGATCTCAATTAAGCAACAACAGATTTTACTGCTCGAAAGAAACGTCTTTCATTTCCAAAAATATCAGGCAGTGATCTGTTAAGAATTTTGCTGTTAGACAACAGTGATTTCAAAAAGGACATTACCTTGATATGGCAGGCGGGAAGCCCAAAGTATATCTCTCTGATTTTATCTCCATAACGTTGAATGTCGATGTATTCACTACATGAAGACATACGCAACGAATTTGAAAACGAGCATATACCTGCACCTGGCCGCCTATGAAAACGGTTAGAAGTTTAAAAAAAGAAGTCCTGAAAAACATGGGTTAAAAATTAGCTGTATGTCAACTACAAGAAAAATAACTAAATATCATGTCTGCATTGAAAGTTTAAAATGTATTTTTAAAAATAATTTTTTTTTACCTACGTATAATGGAACAATATGTTCTACAACGAAAATCAAGCTAATTTATTTACAAAATAAATTGTTGGACTGTAAGTTGATAAAACTATTATTAAGTTTATAAATAGTAAGGTTTAATTAGAAAGTAGCAGATAAAAGATCCACAATTTTATACATTATTTATTATAATAAATATTTTTTATTTAAATCACGTCATTTTTAAGCTTTGGCCAAGACTATTTTGATATTTTCTAAATATGAGACTACACATTTTGTTTGACTCTGTGATGTGTCTTTTATATATAGTAACAATCCTTTTAGTGGTCCCTGTTCGTTAAAGAAAACTCTCAGTTTAAAATCGCATGATTTAAAGAGCTATCGATTTATAACTATGTCCATTCTAAAAAAAGCTTTTGCGTTTTAATTATCATTTATTTTAAATAAATTTTTTCTCAAGTGAATCTTTTCGCTGATCTTACACAACTGTTTCCGATATCGCCAAATATTCATCAATGGCCCAGAAGTGTTTACAAACAAATATTGGTTTAATTTTCCGCATATAATTTTTGAACTACAAGTAGTAATATATATCAAATTTGAACCGTCAACCCGCCTGTTAATATATGTCAATTTAAGACCAATGATGACATATATTTCACGATATCCGAAACAGATGTATCATCAACCCCAGAATTTGATTAATTAAAATTTTCTCAATAGGGAGAATCCTTTTTTATTCGTAATGAATTTCTCATCATAAACCTAGTGTTAAGATTTCGATCTATCATAAACTCCTTATTAAACAAATGTTTTATAGAGTTTTGACATTGTGTAAATACTTTTCTGTGCTGTTTAATGTCATGTCATGATGTTTATGTCAAGATCCTTAATAATGAATTTTTGTTTATATTACAGGGTCATTCTGATGGTTTAGGCTACATTCCCGAACAACGTTTTCGAATTATTACTGTATTTATTGTTATATTTTCGTTATGTGTTGCATTAATGATACCTTCGGTGGAACTTATTATTGGTTTAGTCGGTTCAACAATTGGTGTTGTTATATGCATAATGTTTCCTGCGTCCTGTTTTCGGAAAATAATCAAGAAAAATTCAACTGAACGATCTCTTGCTCAATTTATACTTGTTAGTGGTTTTTGTTTAATGATTTTGGGTACGTATGCCAACTTAAATGCAATAGATGAAAAAAGTTCTGGAGCACATTTGGGTCCAGTGGATGTACAATTAAATATGAAAAACCCTACTAAAACAC